GCGAAACGTCAGGAGAAATGCCTCTAGAACATGGCCCTATAGCCCGAAAAAACCTACAAGAACCTAGTGATTCCAGCCATGAAAGCCTTCGACAATACATTAAACTGTTGCTGTTTGTTTTGCTTGTAGTTCTGCACCGTGATCTGATCCCACCACAGCTTTTCCATTCGTGATAACTACGATTTATCTCAAGACTGCTGCTCCGAAGTTTGGCCATCACATTTGGGAGCATCCAATGCAGTGCTTCACTTTTGGCAGAGCCGGCTTGCTGTTACTCCCCTCGTATCCACCCTCTTAAAGATGAATTGTTAGATAAATTCCACAGGGAACCAAAGAAAGAAGCCTTACACTGAGGCTCGGAACAAGAGATTAATATGTATTGTGTGGTATGGAATATGTCCTCTTTGGCTTTAACAATGACTTTTGTAATAAAGGATGTGCAACTCATTCACATTTCTCTCTGGCTCTTGGGAGATAATAATTGCCAAATTTTCCATGTTGTACTTTCTTAGGTGGTGCAATGGGTTAAACCCTTGTGCCGGGAGGACTACTGACCAATAGGTCAGTGGTTTGAATCCTGGGAGAGCTCCCTCTGTCAGCTCCAGCTCCCTGTGCAGGGACATGAGAGAAGCCTCCCACAAGGATGGTAAAAACATCAAATATCCAAGTGTCCCCAGGTAATGTTCTTGCACCAGAAGAGAAAGAGGGAGAGAGGGAAGGAGGGAGGGAAGACGAAAGGGAGGAATGACAAAGAGGAAGGAAGGAAGGAAGGAAGGAAGGGAAGGAAGGAAGGAGAAAGAGGGAAAGGGAAAGAGGGAGAAAAGATGGAAGGAAAGAAAAGGAAGGGAAGGAGAAAGAGGGAGAGAGGGAAAGACAAAAGGGAGGGAAGGATGAAAGGGGAAGGGAAGGAAGAAAGAGAGGAAGGAAGGAGGAAGGGGGGAGAGAAGAGGGAAGGGAAGGAGGAATGGAGGGAAAGAAAAAGAGGAAAGAGAAGGATGAAAGGGTGGAAGGGAAGAAAGGGGGAGGAAAAAGAGGAGAAGGAAGGAGGGAGGGAAAGAGGAAGGAAGGATGGGGGAAGGGAAAGAAAGATGGAAGGAAAGAAAGAAAGAGGAAGAAGGATGAAAGGGTGGAAGTGAATGGAGGGAGAGAGGGAAGAAGGGAGAAGGAAGGAAAAACAAAAGGGAGGGAAGGAGGAAGGGAAGAGAGAAGGAAAGACAAGGGTGGGAAGGATGAAAGGGTGGAAGTAAAGGATGGATAGAAGAATGGAAGGGCTGGAGGAGGGAAAGAGAAGTAAGGCAATCATAACAAAGCCAGCTCAGGGGTGGGTGGGCATGGGAACTTTTGAATCTGAATAATAGAATCAAAGAGTTGGAAGAGACCTCATAGGCCATCCAGTCCAACCCCATCCTGCCAAGAAGCATATTGCATTCAAAGCACCCCTGACAGATGGCCATCCAGCCTCTGCTTAAAAAGCTTCCAAAGAAGGAGCCTCCACCACACTCCGGGGCAGAGAGTTCCACTGCTGGAAGTTCTTCCTCATGTTCAGGAAGTCAGGAATTTCTTCCTCATGTTCAGATGGAATCTCCTCTCTTGTAGTTTGAAGCCATTGTTTCGTGTCCTAGTCTCCAGGGAAGCAGAAAACAAGCTTGCTCCCTCCTCCCTGTGGCTTCCTCTCACATATTTATACATGGCTATCATATCTCCTCTCAGCCCAGCTCCTTAAGCTGCTCCTCATAGGGCTTGTTCTCCAGACCCTTGATCATTTTAGTCGCCCTCCTCTGGACACATTCCAGCTTGTCAACATCTCCCTTCAATTGTGGAGCCCAGAATTAGACACAGTATTCCAGGTGTGGTCTAACCAAGGCAGAATAGAGGGGTAGCATGACTTCCCTGGATCTAGACACTATGCTCCTATTGATGCAGGCCAAAATCCCATTGGCTTTTTTTGCCGCCACATCACATTGTTGGCTCATGTTTAACTTGTTGTCCACGAGGACTCCAAGATCTTTTTCACACGTACTGCTCTCGAGCCAGGCATCGTCCCCATTCTGTATCTTTGCATTTCGTTTTTCCTGCCAAAGTGGAGTATCTTGCATTTGTCACTGTTGAACTTCATTTTGTTAGTTTTGGCCCATCTCTTTAATCTGTCAAGATCGTTTTAAATTCTGCTCTTGTCCTCTGGAGTGTTTTATATTTGTTGTGTCTGGGCAACCAGTCAATTGTGTTAGATTTCTAACAGAACAAAACAAACAAACAGACAAAATACAAAATTTGCGAGTTTGGTAGTTGATTAAATGTCCTTTGACCAGTATCTGGCCACTTGGAGTGCTTCTGGTGTTGCTGCAAGAAGGTCCTCCATTGTGCATGTGGCAGGGCTCAGGTTGCATTGCAGCAGGTGGTCAGTGGTTTGCTCTTCTCCACACTCGCATGTCGAGGATTCCACTTTGTAGCCCCATTTCTGAAGGTTGGCTCTGCATCTCGTGGTGCCAGAGCGCAGTCTGTTCAGTGCCTTCCAAGTCGCCCAGTCTTCTGTGTACCCAGGGGGAAGTTTCTCATTTGGTATCAGCCATTGGTTGAGTTCTGGGTTTGAGCCTGCCACTTTTGGACTCTCACTTGCTGAGGTGTTCCAGCTAGTGTCTCTGTCGATCTTAGAAAACTATGTCTAGATTTAAGTCATTGACGTGCTGGCTGATACCCAAACAGGGGATGAGCTGGAGATGTCTCTGCCTTGGTCCTTTCACTATTGGCTGCTACTTCCCGGCGGATGTCAGGTGGTGCAATACCGGCTAATCAGTGTAATTTCTCCAGTGGTGTAGGGCGCAGACACCCCTGATAATGCGGCATGTCTCATTAGGAGCCACATCCACTGTTTTAGCGTGGTGAGATGTGTTCCACACTGGGCATGCATACTCAGCAGCAGAGTAGCATAGCGCAAGGGCAGATGTCTTCACTGTGTCTGGTTGTGATCCCCAGGTTGTGCCAGTCAGCTTTCGTATGATATTGGTTCTAGCACCCACTTTTTGCTTGATGTTCAGGCAGTGCTTCTTGTAGGTCAGAGCACGGTCCAGAGTGACTCCCAGGTATTTGGGTGTGCTGCAATGCTCCAGTGGGATTCCTTCCCAGGTAATCCTCAGAGCTCGGGATGCTTGCCTGTTCTTAAGGTGAAAGGCGCATGTCTGTGTTTTAGATGGATTAGGGATCAGTTGGTTTTCCCTGTAATAGGCAGTAAGAGCACCTAGAGCTTCGGAGAGCTTCTGTTCTACCATCTCAAAGCTCCCTGCTTGAGCAGTAATGGCACGATCATCAGCATAGATGAAGCTCTCTGTCCCTTCTGGCAGTGGCTGGTCATTTGTGTAGATGTTGAACATGGATGGAGCAAGCACGCTCCCCTGAGGCAGGCTGTTCTTCTGTTTCCACCATCTGCTTCTCTGGCCCTAGAACTCAACAAAGAAGCTCCTACAAGAAGCACTGCCTGAACATCAAGCAGAAAGTGGGTGCCAGAAACAATATCATACGAAAGCTGACTGGCACAACTTGGAGATCACAATTTATTTATTTATTTATTTACAGTTCTTATATTCCGCCCTTCTCACCCCGCAGGGGACTCAGGGCGGATTACAGTAAACACATATATGGCAAACATTCAATGCCAGTTTGACAAACAACATTTAACAGACAAAGGCTATTTAACTTTTTTCTGGCCGCCAGGGGAGCTGCTGCTTTTCATCGTCCATCAACGACACCGATGAAGTTCTTCCGCATTCCACATTCCCCGGAGTCTTCTTTCTTTATGGCCTCATAAATTAGTTAAATTTAGCCTCCCCACACAAGGTGGTACCTTATTTTCCTACTTGACAGATGCAACTGTCTTTCGGGTTGCAAAGGTCGACAACAGGCTACACACAATTGGTTGGAAACCCACTCCAACCCGGGCTGGCTTCGAACTCATGACCTTTTGGTCAGAGTGATCTTAATGCAGCGGACACTCAGCCAGCTGCGCCACAATCCCGGTGCAGACTCATATTGTCCAGTGAAGACATCTGCCCCTGCGCTGTGCTACTCTGCTGCTGAGTATGCATGCCCAGTGTGGAACACATCTCACCACACTAAAACAGTGGATGTGGCTCTTAATGAGACATGCCGCATTATCACGGGGTGTCTGCGCTCCACACCACTGGAGAAATTACACTGCTTAGCCGGTATCGCACCACCTGACATCCGCCGGGAAGTAGCAGCCAATAGTGAAAGGACCAAGGCAGAGACATCTCCAGCTCATCCGCTGTTTGGGTATCAGCCAGCACGCCAAAGGCTTAAATCAAGAAATAGTTTTCTTAGATCTACAGAGACACTCGCCGGAACACCTCAGCAAGCGAGAGTCCAAAAGTGGCAGGCTCAAACCCAGAACCTCAACCAATGGCTGATACCAAATGAGAGACACACAGAGGACTGGGTGACTTGGAAGGCGCTGAACAGACTGCGCTCTGGCACCACGAGATGTAGAGCCAATCTTAAGAAATGGGACTACGGGGTGGAATCCATGGCATGCGAGTGGGGAGAAGAGCAAACCACTGACCACCTGCTGCAATGCACCCTGAGCCCTGCTACATGCACAATGGAGGACCTTCTTGCAGCAACACCGGAGGCACTCCAAGTGGCCAGATACTGGTCAAAGGACACTTAACCAACTACCAAACTCACAAGTAGTGTATTTTTCTGTTTCCTTGCTTTGTTCTGTTAGAAATGTACTATAATGGACTGGTTGCTCTGACACGACAAATAAAATTTGAATACTATGGGAGCTGTAGTTTTGCAAAGAGCCAATCATTCCCATTACCAAACTGCATTCATTTTATAATTGGCCCCCCCAAAAAAAAAGTTGGTCCAGGGAAGTGACGTCACGGCCTGGAAAGCACGCGGCTTGTGTTGTGATGACGTCACAGCGGGAGGCCTGCCAAAGAGAAGCGCAGGCGAGAGAGAGAGAGAGAGGAGCGCTTCCGGTTTGCCCACTATGCCACCCGGAAGCGCTTGCTCTGCAGGGCTGTGAGGAGGGAAGATGGCGGCGGAGGAGCCTCAGCAGCAGCCGGAGCCCCTCGGCGGGGACACGGACGGTAATGGGAGGCCTCGGGGGGGAAATAGAGGGACTCACCTCCGGGAATGGAGAGCTTGGGCCTCCGAGGGAGCGGCTGCCTCCCTTTCCTCGCCTCGAGTGGGCCCTTTTCCCTTTCTTCAATGGAGCCCCCGGTTGGACTAGGCCTCGCCGTTGCCCCGGCAACCAGGGGGGCGTGGGCGGGGCGCCCCCGTCTCCATGGAAACGGAGGAGCAGAAAGGGCCTTGTAACTTTGGGCTTCTGAAGAGAACGCCCAAGGAAGGGAGGGAGGAGGGCCAGGCTTCCATATTGGGAATATTATTATTATTATTATTATTATTATTATTATTATTGTCTCCTTGCAAATTGGAGGTCCAAAACTGCTTTAATACTACACTAGGTCTGGGCCAACTAAGGCCTTCCAGATGTTTTGGACTTCAACTCCCACCATTCCTAGCAGACTCAGGCCCCTTCCCTTGGACTTCAACTCCCAGCATTCATAACAGACTCAGGCCCTTTCCCTTAGACTTCAACTCCCACCATTCCTAGCAGACTCAGGCCCCTTCCCTTGGACTTCAACTCCTACCATTCCTAGCAGACTCAGGCCCCTTCCCTTGGACTTCAACTCCCACCATTCCTAGCAGACTCAGGCCCCTTCCCTTGGACTTCAACTCCTACCATTCCTAGCAGACTCAGGCCCCTTCCCTTGGACTTCAACTCCCACCATTCCTAGCAGACTCAGGCCCCTTCCCTTGGACTTCAACTCCCACCATTCCTAGCAGACTCAGGCCCCTTCCCTTGGACTTCAACTCCTACCATTCCTAGCAGACTCAGGCCCCTTCCCTTGGACTTCAACTCCCACCATTCCTAGCAGACTCAGGCCCCTTCCCTTGGACTTCAACTCCCACAATTCCTAACAGCCTCAGGCCCCTTCCTTTTCCCCCTGAACTCCTACCATTCCTAGCAGACTCAGGCCCCTTCCCTTGGACTTCAACTCCCACCATTCCTAGCAGACTCAGGCCCCTTCCCTTGGACTTCAACTCCTACCATTCCTAGCAGACTCAGGCCCCTTCCCTTGGACTTCAACTCCTACCATTCCTAGCAGACTCAGGCCCCTTCCCTTGGACTTCAACTCCCAGCATTCCTAACAGACTCAGGCCCCTTCCCTTGGACTTCAACTCCTACCATTCCTAACAGACTCAAGCCCCTTCCCTTGGACTTCAACTCCCAGCATTCCTAACAGACTCAGGCCCCTTCCCTTGGACTTCAACTCCTACCATTCCTAACAGACTCAAGCCCCTTCCCTTGGACTTCAACTCCCAGCATTCCTAACAGACTCAGGCCCCTTCCCTTGGACTTCAACTCCTACCATTCCTAACAGACTCAAGCCCCTTCCCTTGGACTTCAACTCCCAGCATTCCTAACAGACTCAGGCCCCTTCCCTTGGACTTCAACTCATGCTGGGAGTTGAAGTCCAAGGGAAGGGGCCTGAGTCTGTTAGGAATGGTAGGTGTTCAGGGGGAAAAGGAAGGGGCCTGAGTCTGCTAGGAATGCTGGAAGTCAAGGGAAGGGGCCTGAGGCTGCTAGGAATGGTGGGAGTTGAAGTCCAAGGGAAGGGACCTGAGGCTGTTAGGAATTGTAGGAGTTGAGGGGGAAAAGGAAGGGGACTGAGTCTGCTAGGAATGGTGGGAGTTCAGGGGGAAAAGGAAGGGGCCTGAGGCTGTTAGGAATGCTGGAAGTTGAAGTCCAAGGGAAGGGGCCTGAGGCTGTTAGGAATGGTGGGAGTTGAAGTCCAAGGGAAGGGGTCTGAGTCTGCTAGGAGTAGTAGGAGTTGAGGGGGAAATGGAAGGGGCCTGAGTCTGCTAGGAATGCTGGGAGTGGAAGTCCAAGGGAAGGGGCCTAAGTCTGTTAGGGATGGTAGGAGTTAGGGGGAAAAGAAAGGGGCCTGATGCTGCTAGGAATGCTGGGAGTTGAAGTCCATGGGAAGGGGCCTGAGACTGCTAGGAATGGTAGGAGTTCAGGGGGAAAAGGAAGGGGCCTGAGGCTGTTAGGAATTGTAGGAGTTGAGGGGGAAAAGGCAGGGGCCTGAGTCTGCTAGGAATGCTGGGAGTTGAAGTCCAAGGGAAGGGGCCTAAGTCTGTTAGGGATGGTAGGACTTAGGGGGAAAAGAAAGGGGCCTGACGCTGCTAGGAATGCTGGGAGTTGAAGTCCAAGGGAAGGGGCCTGAGTCTGTTAGGAATGGTAGGTGTTCAGGGGGAAAAGGAAGGGGCCTGAGTCTGCTAGGAATGCTGGAAGTCAAAGGGAAGGGGCCTGAGGCTGCTAGGAATCGTAGGAGTTGAAGTCCAAGGGAAGGGTGCCTGAGGCTGCCAGGAACGGTGGGAGTTGAAGTCCAAATACCCAGAGGGCCCAAGTTAGTCCAGGCCTGTTCTTAACCCCATTTGAAAACAACTTTACGAAGGCACAACTTTGCTAGGAGATAATGAGGTTGATTGGATGTCATGGCTGTTATTCTGAAGGAAAGGTAACCATGGTTTGTGCTGTGGAAATATCTCAGTTGCCACCAGTGGGTGCAATTGTAGTTAAAATGTTATTATTCTTGCATTTTGACCCAGCAGCGATTCCTAACCTTTGGTTCTACAGGAGTTTGGTACTCCCAGAAGCACCAGCCCACGGTGATCCGCACTCTTGCCACATTATGTATAGATCACTGCAATATGTTCTACGTGGGGTTGCCTTTGAAGACTGTTTGGAAGCGTCAATTGGTCCAATTGGCAGTGCCAGTCTGCTACTGAGCACAATTCAAAATGCTGGGTTTAGCCCTAAACAGTTCCGGCCCATCTTACTTGTCTGAATGTATCTCCCCCTATGAACTAATTCAGAGATTAATGTCGTGTGGAAAGGCCCTGGTCTCAGTCCCGCCTGCATCACAAGCGCGAGTGGTGGGGACCACAGACAGGGCCTTCTCAGTGGTGGCCCCTCCCTAGTGACATTAGATCAGCTCCCTCCCTTCTAGCCTTCCGAAAAAAAGTCAAAACCTGGCTCTGGGATCAAGCTTTCGGAGAATAGTTCAATTCAGTAATAGACCTGGAATATGTACAACAAACAAATAACAAATCAAAATAGCGGATAAAACAATCTCAATATAAAATTATAAAAGTAATTGGAAAAATAACTTAAAATAAAACTTAAATAAACAACACATCATACAACAGTTACCACATGATGAACTCTTAAAAATTAGACTTAAAAGGCATTAAAAGCTGAGATGGTTTACAGCAGGCATGGGTATACTTTGGCCCTCCAGGTATTTTGAACTTCAACTCCCATAATTTCTCATATCCTACTGCTGCCCGTTGGATGCTGTAAACCAGGCATGGGCAAAATTTGGCTCTCCCAAGTGTTTTGGGCTTCAACTCCCACAATTTCTAATAGCCTACCAGCGGTTAGGAATTGTGGGAGTTGAAGTCCACAACACCTAGAAAGCCAAAGTTGGCCCACGCCTGGCTTACAGCGTCCAACGGGCAGTGGTAGGTGTCCAATATATGGAGATGTACTAGTCCTCCTCCTCTCCGTAAGCTAAGGTGCATAAGAAAGTTTTTCAAAGCTTTTTAAAGGAGGTGAGAGAGGGGGCCATTTTTAGTTCTTTTGGGAGGGAGTTCCAGAGGAAGGGAGCCATAATGGAGAAGGCCCCTCCTTCATTCCCGGGGGTGGGACCAAGAGCAGGGCACAGACTGCAGTGATATGCTGCTTTGTATACAGTGCTCATGCTGGTTTGTATATTATTATAATTATAGTAATAATTATGCTGCTTTGTATATTATTATTATTATTATTATTATTATTCTAATCTAGGCTATGGGCTATTGAAGTCCAAATCACACGGGTTGTCCCAGGCCTCTTCTAATTCCATTAGGAGTTGTAGGAGTTGAAGCCCAAAGCACACAGAGAGCCAAAGTTGTCCCAGGCCTATCCTAACTCCATTAGGAATGGTGGGAGTTGAAGCCCAAAGCACATAGAGAGCCAAAGTTGTCCCAGGCCTGTCCTAACTCTATTAGGAATGGTGGGAGTTGAAGCCCAAAACATACGGAGGGCCAAAGTTGTCCCAGGCCTGTTCTAACTCCGTTTGGAATTGTGGAAGTTGAAACCCAAAACACATGGAGGGCCAGAGTTGTCCCAGGCCTGTGCTAACACCATTAGGAATGGTGGGAGTTGAAGCCCAAAACACACAGAGGGCCAAAGTTGTCCCAGGCCTGTCCTAACTCCATTAGGAATGGTGGGAGTTGAAGCCCAAAACACACAGAGGGCCAGAGTTGTCCCAGGCCTGTCCTAACTCCATTAGGAATTGTGGGAGTTGAAGCCCAAAACACATGGAGGGCCAGAGTTGTCCAAGGCCTGTGCAAATTCCATTAGGAGTTGTGGGAGTTGAAGCCCAAAACACACAGAGGGCCAGAGTTGTCCCAGGTCTGTCCTAACTCCATTAGGAATGGTGGGAGTTGAAGCCCAAAATACACAGAGAGCCAAAGTTGTCCCAGGCCTGTCCTAACTCCATTAGGAATGGTGGGAGTTGAAGCCCAAAACATACGGAGGGCCAAGGTTGTCCCAGGCCTGTTCTAACTCCATTTGGAATTGTGGAAGTTGAAGCCCAAAACACATGGAGGGCCAGAGTTGTCCCAGGCCTGTGCTAATTCCATTAGGAGTTGTGGGAGTTGAAGCCCAAAACACACAGAGGGCCAGAGTTGTCCCAGGCCTGTCCTAACTCCATTAGGAATGGTGGGAGTTGAAGCCCAAAACACACAGAGGGCCAGAGTTGTCCCAGGCCTGTCCTAACTCCATTAGGAATGGTGGGAGTTGAAGCCCAAAACACACAGAGGGCCAGAGTTGTCCCAGGCCTGTCCTAACTCCATTACGAATGGTGGGAGTTGAAGCCCAAAACACACAGAGGGCCAAAGTTGTCCCAGGCCTGTGCTAACACCATTAGGAATGGTGGGAGTTGAAGCCCAAAACATACGGAGGGCCAAAGTT